GGGGGGTTGGGGGGTGGGGGGGTGATGGGTGCGTGTGTGTGTGTGTGTGTGCATGTGTGTGTGTGTGCACGTGTGTGTTTGTGTTTGTGTTTGTATTTATGTGTATGTGTATATGTGTGAGTGTGTGCGTGAGTGTGTGTGTGTGTGTGTGTGTATGTGTGTTTGTGGGGGGGGGTGGTCTATGTGTGTGTGTGTGTATATGTGTTTGTTATTTTTCAGTTTTTTGTGTTTTTCATTTTTTTTAACATACATATGAACTTTAAAAATAAAAATAAAAAATAGGGTTGTAGATCTCCAAAAGATCTGCAACCTTATATTTTTTTTAAAAATTTTTGTTTATTGGTTGCCTACCAAACAATCTCTGTGCAAAAAAAAGAAAAACCCACCCATTTCTTTTTTTCTTTTTTTTTTTTTTTTTCTTTTTACGTTTTTGATTTTTTTAAAATATAACAAAACTTCAAAAAATAAAATAAAAAACATAGGGTTCTAGATCTGAAAGAGATCTACAACCCTATATTTTTTGTTATTTTTTTTGAGCATTTTGTACCCCCCCAAAAAATATCCCTGCGCCCGCTCAAACATGGGGAAGAGGGGGGGGAAGGTTCCGCCGGACCCCCGTGCCGCCGTGGACATGGGGGATCCGGCATTCCCAGAACGCCGGACCCCTATGGCCGTTGCGGCATGGGGGTCCGGCGGACTTGAACCACCGGATTTTTTTCTTTTTACGTTTTTTATTTCTTAAAAATATAGCACAACTTCAAAAAATAATATAAAAACCATAGGGTTCGAGATCTCAAAGAGATCTACAACCCTATGTTTTTTGTTTTTTTTTTTTATCATTTTGTACCCCCCAGAAAAATATCCCCGCGCCCGCTCAAACATGGGGGAGAGGGGGGGGAAGGTTCCGCCAAACCCCTGTGCCGCCGCGGACATGGGGGATCCGGCGTTCCCAGAACGCCGGACCCCTATGGCCGTTGCGGCATGGGGGTCCGGGGGACTCGAACCACCGGATCCCCATGCCGCCACAGGCGAAGCGGTCAGAACACTGGACCCCCATGGCACTGCGGGCGAGGGAGAGGGGGGGAAGGTTCCGCAGGACCCCCATGCCGCCGCGGACATGGGGGATCCGRCGTTCCCAGAATGYCGGACCCCCATACCCGCTGCGGCATGGGGGTCGTGACATGGGGGATCCGGTGTTCCTAGAATGCCRSACCYCCCATGCCCGTTGCGGCATGGAGGTCCGRCGGACTCAAACCGCCAGATCCCCATGCCGCCACTGGCGAAGGGGTCCAGCGTTCTGGGAACGCCGGACCCSCACGGCGCTGCGGTCGAGGGAGAGGGGGGGAAGGTTCCGCGGGACCCTTATACCGCCACGGGCGAAAGGGTCCAGCGTTCTGGGAATGCCGGACCCCCTCGGCGCTGCGGGCATGGGGGTCTTGCGTTCTGGGAACGCCGGGCCCCCATGCCGGTTAGAAATGGGGTCCAGCGTTCCGGGAACGCCGGACCCCCATGCCCGATAGAGATAGGGTTCAGCGTTCTCGGAATGCCGGACCCCCATCCCATCGCGGGCAAGGGGATCCAGCGTTCCCGGAACGACAAACCCCCACGCCGTCATGGGCGAGGCGGTCCGACGGTCTGGATCCGGCGAACCCCTTGCATTCATCGGGGGAGGGGGTCCAGCGGATCCGGAACATCGGAACCCCTACTACCCCGTGTGCATGGGGTCCGGCGTTCTCGGGGTCCGCGAATAGCCAAAGGGGGCTTGTAATCATGTTGTGGTCTTCAGGCAACAAGTGCTTCTTTGTGTCACTCAATTGCATTCACCTGTTGTTTTTTTATTTGTCGTGCCTCCCTTCAGGAAAATCCGCTTCAACCTCTGTCCTTGAGAAACGTGTGTACGACATGTCTAAGCTCTACAACGACAAACCTTGGGCTCTTGACTGGGTTGGTGGTCATCATACATCTGGTTATGGAACCGTTGTCTTCTTGAGTGATGACAACAACGGGAGTTGGTACTGTTGCGGAGGGGTTGAGAAATCTGAAGCGGGGTGGGTTAACTATGACGATAGGAAGTTTAGGACGTTCTTTCTTACCTCTATCTATGACAACGAGGGGAAAAACAGGGTCAAGGAAGACAAGAAGGCGTCTCTTCACCTTCATCTCTTCCAAGGCTACGGTGTCAAGGCTTTCTTGATGAAAGCGTTTGACGTGCATGGCAACGACACGGAGTTCCGAATGCTGGATCCACAAAAGTTCCTCTCCAAAACCAACGGTTGCCGCGTCACTGGTTCCCTGCCCATCGTCGACAGTGCTTTCCTGCTCAGCGGCCCTTTGGTCCAGTTCAACAGCCCGACGGACCAACTGGGAGGTGTTGTAATGCAATACAGGGAACAGTTCACGAAGCTGCCTATTGCCGAGCAAGTGGACTGTGATTTCAAGCCCACTAACGTGGGTCCCAAACGGCGCCAAGATCCGCCGGCCACACCGGGTGCGAAGAGGAAGCAATTGTCGACTCGCCCCTCTTTGTCGAATGCGTTTGCCCAGGTTCTTTCCGCTCCATCTCGCCCTCGCATCGGTAAGGTCAGGATGCGGCCGAGCAGTCCAGCGAGGGCACAGACTACGACGACGGAGCTCTGCGCCGCCGGGCTAGTCCCCAACATCGTGGGAGGATGGTGGTGAGGAGGACGACGGGGGCAATGAAGAGATGTGGATGGTGAAGAGAATGACGTGGACAACGAGAGATACGTTGGTGGTGAGGAAGTCGAAGACAATCGCTTCTACCAATGCGAACGTCAGCGCGACATCAACGAAACACAGGCTTGCTGTGGGGATGATGCCTACGACGTTGGTGATGCAGACGACGTTGATGCCCAGCCTGCAACCTCCCATGAAGTGTCGCAGTCGCATAACCAGGCGAAGGATGGGAGAGACAAACATGGCTTACGAGGAAAGAGAAAGATGGCAGAAGCGTCGATCCCTCCAATGAGTCAAACAAAACAAGCGAGAACTGACGCCGTCAATAAGGCTCGCGGAGCGTTGACGGCATCCCAGGAAACGCGGGCTCCTCGGAAAACTGGCGGGGGCGGGGAACTGGCAGTGGTGGCGGCGGTAGGCAAGGCTCACAGAGGGTCAGGCCACATGAACTGCGGGACTCGGGGAATGAGGGCGAGGGGGTGGGGTCTCGCATGCCCGAAGGTGATCACGATCCGGTTCAACACGCCACACCCCTCGACACGACCCACTGTTTCTTTCTCGAATACGACGAGGACGGCTTTGCCAGGCAACACGTCAATGTTGTTAACGTCGACGTCACAAGAATCAAACGCATTCCCTGTGGGAAGATTCTTTATAACCACCGCTCGTTGTCTGAGAACATTGTAAGAGGCATCGAGAATGTCATCGAAAACTCCATCACTGCTGACCCGGGGACGTGGGATAGGTCTGAGCTCGTTCTTGCACCGGTTGACCCGAACGACATTGTCGGCAGACAGGGAAGGCGAATCACGCTGGACGAGTTCTGCCAACGGGACTCTGCAGAGTTCAATTGGTACACTGTCTGTGGTCAGCATACCGCCGAGGCCATGAAACAGTTGGTGACAAAGGGCTCCGCCGCAGAAAATGAAACCGTGATTAGAATTTAGAACAAGAAAGGGTCACATTCCTAGAATATAAGTGGTGAACTCATTTTTCTTCACCAAACTTTTTGACAGCGAAATGAGGTATCGAGAGCGAGAGGTGCAACATTAGTCGAAAGACGTTATAACAAGTGACATGAACTTGATCATTGCCCCTTTCCATATCGCACACATGAACCACTGGACCCTCGTTGTGGCTGACTTCAAAAGGAGGAAATTCGAATTTTATGACTCCCTCAGCCCCGACATGGAACTGGCAAGAAAAGTGACCGGCGGATTTGCGAAGTTTCTATTCGAAAGATCGATTGAGCAAGGCAAAGAGGTGGACACAAAACCGTTCAATCACATATGGAACGTAGAGGGCGTCCCGAAACAACGTGACACGAACTCATGCGGGGTCTTCATGCTCACATACGCATCGCTCATGGCAAGGGGTCACCTTCCGCCTTTCTCTTTCACCGCTGATGACATACCCGCAATACGTCGTCAACTGACTTTGGACACAGTAGCTCGTGAGTAGTATGTACCTGTTATTGGATATTATGATTACATGTGGACGGATGTGGGTAACATGAAATTGTTTGTGACGGAAACAATGTATAGAAGATAACAAACATTGCTCCATACTCTCACCCCTTACCCCTTGCCATTTACCCCTTATCCCTTACCCCTAAACCCCTTACGCCTTACCCCTTACCCCTTACCCCTTACCCCTTACGTGTACACCCGTACCCCAAACGTCGAATTTCAAATGCAGATTTGACCCAAAATGACCATGAAAATGTCAATTTCAATTTCGTTCAAAAAATATAAAATGTCCGTTTTGACGAAATCGCTGTTGCTGCACCCCTCATGCCTTGTTCTCTGGAAAGGGCCCTGCTTCTTGGAATGCTCGAGAACCTATCTTCAATCTAGGTGCACGGGGGTGTATCATCGATAGTGATTGGAGCCAACCTGCAAATTTGTTCGAATGCCAAAGGCTGCCCAAGGCTTATCAATTGAGAAGATAAAATTCATTATCCATTTAAGGGAGAGGGCTTGACATTGGAGGGTTGGGTCTAACAACCCCAACCCACCTCTAGCCTTTGATTGTATTGAAGTGAGCCATGCCACTCTAGGAATTACCTTTGCTTGTGCATGATTACCACGCCATAAGTACGATGTAACTTGCTTTTAAAGTGTCCTTATTCTTGTCTTACCCAAAGCCCAGACAACAGATTTATATCCAATAGATGCAAGGATGACATTATTAATGACTAGGGCTCTGCCAAAGATTGAAGTATGTCGGTTTTTCCATTGCTTCATCTCTTCCAAGACAGCAAGGCTGGTCATGAGATCCAGTCATCGTTTGTTATGGGTTTTCCTTGAGCAGAAATTGACACCCCCAAGAGCCTTATAGGCACCACTAAGGGAATCCATAGCACTTTCGGGTCTTCCGGCAGCTAAACCCCATTCAAATGAATCCACCAACCCTGAGTTTTGCTCCGCCAAGTGACTAACATATCTGATACTAACGAGAATTTATCTAGTAATGCGTTGATTTCTTCCAAATTGGCAATGGACGCCTCCATCATAATAGTAAGATCATCGGCAAACGAGCTTATGGGAATAGCCTCTTCTGGAATACCCGAAATTCGAAGGCGCGTAAGATTCTTGCTAGCCCTAGGCTTGCACCCAAAGCCTCCATAACGATCATAAATAAGAAAGGGGCAAGAGGGTCACCTTGCCTTACTGACCTTTGAAGCCTGATGGCAGGGGATAGCAAACCATTGACTTGGATCCTTGTTGACGCGTTGGTATGAAGAATTTGGACCCACCAACGGAAATTAGGACCGAAGTTCATTTTGTTGAGACTTGCATCTAGAAAACGCAAGTCTACATGGTCATAAGCTTTCTCAAAGTATATGAACACGAAAGCTGCATTATTCTTAGATTGTCTTGAGAGCTTGACCACTTCATTATTTAACAAAATATTATCCAGTTTGTTGCCCTTTTTAAACTCGGCGAGTGGGTAAGAATGCTATTGTTGCCTTTTCAAACTCGCGTTTAACTCGTTGCACGAGTTTGTTGCTCGCGTGTGATGTTGTTACCCTTTTCACACTCGTTTGTGCAACAACTGATCTTGCCCCAAAGGGAAAAAAAGAAAAAGTAAAGAATAGTCACAACATACACAATTCGGCGAATACTCACATGTCACTTGCATTTACTCGTTTGTGCCACAACTGATCTTTACCCCAAAGGGCAAAAAAAGAAAAATCGAAGAATAATCACAACATACACAACTCTGGGGATACTCACATGTCACTTGCATTTTCTGCAATGTATTGGACTGCTATTACACCCTCGCCTGAATGTATATGACTACAGTCACCTCAAGAGATCAGTCAAAAACGCCCTAGTGTGAGTATGGCCTGCCTGTGAGTGTGTTGTCAGGCTGGTTGTGGCAATCAGTTCATCTCCCACCTCAATGGCAGGGGGCATATATTGCGGCGCCCCGATTGTTTTCTTTCTTTTTTGCCACGTCTCTCTCTCTCTCTCTCTCTCTCTCTCTCTCTCTCTCTCTCTCTCTCTCTCTCTCTCTCTCTCTCTCTCTCTCACGACTTCTCTCTCTTCCAGCTGATGACTCCACTAAGTAAGGAGGAACTTCAAGAGGAAGCTCCCTCCTCCAATCATGGGATGGAGTATCTGGAACGGAGAATCGGATACTTGGGGATGGGTCCGATGGGATACTGGACCCGGTTCCCAGCATGATAGCCCAAGCTGGGTAATGGCCCCAGGAATTGTTCTGCATATTAATGTGAGGTGGCCATCATCTTCATTGTTTCTTTTTTTGTTGTTGTTGTTTCCCCTTTGAGAAGAAAGCCCTTTTTTTGCAAGCAATCCTCTTCATTGTCGATGTTGCAACAAGAACAGACAGGAGATGGATGGATTTCGTCCAAATTCTCAACTTTTATCAGGAATGTCAATGATTCAGAGGGACGCTGGACCCCGTTTCCAGCAGGTGGTGGTCCCCACGAATAGATGGAGCAGTTTTTGTTCGGTAAAAAAAAAAAAAGAAAAAAAAAGATGGATGGCTTTGGTGGTTGTTTTTCATCAAGGTTGGTGCCAGGCTGTAGTACTACCTTCTTCACCCGAATAGAACAACCGGTCGGTATTTGGCACAACTTTCAGCCCAGATACGGCGATAATTACTGGGCGTTGTATTCGGGTGAAGATGGTAGTAGATTATGTAGATTGTGTAAAAATGGGGACGGGCTCCCCGCTCTGAGCTTTCAAGGCGGGACAACCTAGGGCCTGGTCCCATTCGCAACGAGGATTGGGGCCTGGTCCCATTGGCAACGAGGATTGGATTTAATTTTTAAATCTTGACGCAATTGAGGAGAGATGCAGAAAATTGGGATTGATTGGCTTTCCTGCATCTCTGCACAAAACACATCCAGATTCAGGAATTTAATCCAATCCTCTTTGCTAATGGGACTAGGTCCGTGGCTGTCCCTTGCCTTGGTAATTGTTGATGTAATTTGCCTTGGACACTGGGCCCTGTTCATGATAAAAGTGCAATTTCGAATTCATAAAAGTGCAATTTGGAGTTAAAAATAAAATAAAAATTGTAACCAGGAAAAACAACAAACTCATGGAACAATAATTATTCATGCTTCCAATTAAAATTAAAAAAAAAGGACAAGTAGTAGATCCTCCCTGTGGCAAAACCATTGGTCCAGGATTTGTTTCCCCCTAATGGGGCAAATCCTGCAGTTCGCCCCACAAAAAGCCTTATGCACTGTTTTTGCGCCGCGGGCCCCACCGGCCTCATCCGCCCTACTAGTCACGGGCGGGGGTGCAAAAATGACATGAAACTCGATGAAAGTTTTTTTCTGGGGTGCAAAAATGACATGAAAGTTTTTTCAGGGGCGCAAAAATGACATGAAAGTCTTTTTCAGGGCTGGCTCCACTGTTTACTCCCATTGGGCGCAAACAAATACAAAGTTTTTTTTTTTTTTTTTCCCCTATTTTCTTTGTTTTTTCTTTTCATGGCCGGAAAAGGGCCCAGCGCCGCTCACATGAATACTGCACATAAATACTGCAGCCGCATGGGCTGGGCAAGGAATTTTCGGGCCTTTCGGCGCCAAACCCATCAGCTGCCATCTGTATCTACAATCTGCTACTTTTCCTTTTTTTTTTTTGTTTTACGTGCAGATTTTGACTCAGAGGCGTCCACTCATAATCCCCCGGACAGTAGCTTTGCACCCGCTCCGGTGGTTTTCAGCCAACTAACATGCTTCAAGTTACATTGAGCTGTGGTAAAACTACTATCTGGTACTTTTCCTTTTTTTTTTGTTTTTTGTGCAGATTTTGACTCAGAGGCGTTCACTCATAATCCCCGGAAGGTAGCTTTGCACCCGTGGTTTTCAGCCAACCGCGGCAATGTAACATGCTTCAAGTTACAGGGGCTCGCCATACAGCCTTTCCGTTTCCAAACGTGCAAAATGGACGCAGCATCTTCGCCACACAGGCTTTTGAAACAAGTGCCAATGCATCCAAAAAGTTTCAAAAGGTGTCAGATAGTTCCGCGTCGAAAGTGGTCTCGAAGGAGCATGCTTCTCCCGCCTGTCATGTCATTGAGCGTTTCTTCAAAAGCCCAAGTCTTAGAGTGGTCTTGTGAAAAGTCCCACTCGAAATGGCCTATTGGCAACAAAAAAGAAGAAGAAAAAGGGGCGAGTAGAAGGGGCTGGCTCCTCTACTCTGGACAAGCACAAAGGACAAAAATCATGGTGGTGTATCGTTCCATGTTCTACGCAAATATTCACACTCTCGTTTTACACACTTCGAGAGTAGTGGAGCAAGCCCCTAATGTGCATATCGAAAGGCCTCCGTATTTCGAAAGTCTGTGTGGCGAAGGGGGGGGTCCCTTTCGAAGAGCAGCCTTTCGAATGAAGTCTGACACATTTCGGAAAATTGGAGGTTTGAGCACGGATGTGGCTGCTACGGGGTTCCCCGTAATACTATAATGATAATAAAAAAGGCCTGGCCGTCCTGTCCAGATTTGACAGGTAATTGAATTGGTTGGGCTTAAAGAATTAGCC